CTCTGGTCGTGGGTAGTTCATTATGGTTGCTGTGAGAGCCTGTTTTTTATTTATTTATTTGTTTTTTGGTAGTATATATTGTAAACTTTGCTTCTTTAGCCTATTCCACCGAGGAAATTTATATTTATTAAGAGAGAAGAAGGTCCATCAACTATTTATAGGGGGCCATTTTAGTCCCATAGTATATAATATGTCAAATATAATTCTTTGATTCATGAAATCTTATACTTAGTAGTCCCTCCATAACTCCTTAAATTCAATCCAAAATAGTCCAACATAAGGACTATTTTGAATCATCTTTGTAAGAACACATGAGATAGCTAAGACTAAAATGGTTAATCATTGTTGTAGCTTAGCCATAAATGATATTTTACCTTCTTTCCTTTGATCCTTATAGAAGAAATGAATAGATAAACAAAATAATCATTTTATATAGATATAAGATATCTCACCTATTTAGTTAGATTTTTATTTATATTTTGACCGATTTCTTTGCAGTATAAGATAACTTCTTTTTGAACAGGAGCCACTCCGAAAGGTGTCCTTAAAGTAATGTCCGTGCCAGGATTAACCATATACCATGTGAAGAGTCACTTGCAGGTACTGGGATTCAATATGATCAAGCATTCTTCGCAATGCCAGTTTTTAAAATTATTGTTTCTTTGCCTAACCTTATTTCTGTATCCATGTAGAAATATCGACTGGCAAAATACATCCCCGAGTCTTCAACAGATGGTAGCTTTATTGAATATTGTTAACAAGTTACTGTTTTGTTTGATAAATGTTTGATTTGAAGGCATTTCTCTTTGTAGACATGCATTATGGTCATGTTCTTATGGTTTGTTTATTTGCAAATAGGCTCCAAGGCTGAAAAGAAAGAACCTGGTGAGCTGATTTCTAGCTTGGATAACTCTTCGTAAGTACCATTTTGCTGCTTTTTTCTACCAAAAAATAAGATTCGGAGTATCCTTTCAATTCTCATCATAACAATTGCTGAATTGAAGTAATTATAGATGTAATGACTTTCAGTAATGAACTGAATCTTATAAAATGGTCATAATATTAGAGGGAAGATTCTGTTAATATAAGTGCTGTCATCATAAGCATGTTTTACACTATATAAATTCAGATAAAAGAAAATATTTATAAACTCATAGTGCTCCTCACTTTTTTGTGCTTTCAACAAATATGCACTTTCAGATTTACTTGTTTCTAATTTTATAAGTTGAAAGCTTCAGTTATCCAGTTCTTTTGAGATCTTATTATTGTTTCATCTATTGCATCAACCTAAAAGACATAACAGATTCTTGTATAAAGATATTTGTAACTGACTCTACCAATAGTATGCTGCCACATGCACAACACACACCACCTAGTTCTATATAAACCTCTGTATTGGCTCTCTCAAACATAACGAAGCATTTCTCCATTGTCATCTTCTTCCTTTGGTCTTTCTTCACTGTCTTGTCTCAGCTTTCATGGTATCAGAGCCGATTGGCTCGCAACCTCCATTTCACTGATGGGCTGACCCTTGTCCACGACTACCGGCGAAGAAGTTAGGGAATGACCGGCAATTCCATCATCCTTAAAGTTCTTGATTTCAAATATCAATAACATTGTTCCCATTGCTCTCTCAGGTGAAAACTATCCGTCCTGGAAATTCCAAATCACAAAACTATTCAAAGCCAATCACTATCTTTCGTTTCTCGATCAATCTACTCCTATTCCCCCTCGTTTCATTCGTCTGACTTCTTCTTTTTTTTGACTTCTCCTCAGTCTGTTCCTTCTCTCAGTAGCAAGTCCTATCCTACCTCCTCCAACAACAAACTATTCCATTTGTTCCTTCCCCCCAATTACCTATTCCTCCTCCACCATCCTACTCTCCTCCATGATCTAATATTAGACTTAAAACCGGCTGATGAGGACATCAGAAGATTGACGGCTATGATGTGGAGTTTATTATTTTCTTTTGTGTCTTATGTACTAGTTTATTTTGTTTTCCTGTTTTTCCATTTTACCCATAGAGGTGGTCATTTGATATTGTAGCCCCGAGGGCATTTATGTCTTTTAGTTTTTGTTTCTTTTGACCTATTTATAGGAGGCCTCATGTATTGTATGGGGATGATGAATTGTTAATGAAAGCTTATTCTACTTATTTGATCTCTTAGTGAGTTCATGAGAGGAGAAGGATCTCTTTGTGAGTTCTTGAGGAAGAGACACTTGAGGTTAGTAATTTCCTTGATTTTTTCCAAGATTTTCTCTTTCTCCGAGCTATTGTTTTCCCTACCCAAAATCCCCATTACCGCCGGCCTCCTTGGGCCGCCCAAGCCGCCGGCCACCGCCCACCAACCACCCATCCGCCGGCCTTCCTCCTCCCATCCTCCCCTCTCCACATCTCTAGCCGCCGGCCCTCCCTCTTGGAATCACAAATTTGAAAATTCAAATTTTCCAAGAGGCATTGATGACTTTCCTAAAATAAATCCAAGATTTTAGGCAAGCTTCTTAATTGAGTTTAAATTCAAATTTGAAATTCAAACGGTTCCCAGTTAATAGCATTTTAATTAGGAAACTTTCCTTTCATATAATATCGAAAATTTAATTCAGATTTTTCTTTAAAATCTTGATTAATGCGTGGGCCCCACTTAATTAATCAAATCTTCTCTCTTTCCCTACGGATGGCCACCCATTACTCCTCCCCTTAATTAGGAGCTTAATTCATGGCTTCAAATAAGGCCTCATTAATTCTTAATTTCCCTCCTAAGCCTAAATTTCAAATTTAAAAAAATTGAAATTACAAAGTCCAAATTAAAATTAGGAAATCTGAAATAAATAATTTCCCAACCTAGTTCTTGCTTTTCCCCACCCGCCCCCTTCCCTATTGTTCACTAGTTAATTCCTATCAAAAGTGCCAATGGAAAATTCCCAAATGCCTCATGCAGCCACCAAATTCCTGCACAAGAGTTCCACGTTCCAGCTGTCCTAAATGTCCAATTTGCTGGTCTACCCCTTCTCAGCTTGCTGCCACGAAGAACCAACCCAGTTTCCTCACTGTTCTGTGACCTGAAGTCACCCCGATTGCTGTCCCGAAGCCCTCCAAGGGCTGTTACAGGTTTTCTGCCATTACAAATGCTGTCCAGTGAATTGGAGAGACCACCATTGCAGTCCATTGTCCACTAGTATCAAATTTAGCAAGGATAATTGTCCGGGATGACATCGTAGCTGCTGTCCAGCAATTCTGCATGCTTCCTTACACCACACCCTCACCCGGGAGGCCCCAACCACTGTCCAGAATTCCATACTTATTCCAGACTGCTGTCCAGATCTCGTAGATTAAAGAGGTGGCTGATTTGAGGTCATCCACCGTTACTGCTTGAAATTGGTGAACTCTTTCCCTAATCCTTTATTTCTATCGTTACTTTATTTTGTGGTTTAATTGATTCATAAGAAATCTTGTCAGTTGTTCTCCGCTTAATCCTAGAGTTTAATGAGTTGAATGATGGATCATCTTGTAGTGACTAGTCTTGTTGTTAGTGTAGGGATTCACTGTTGAAACCTATCTCACATGCAACATTAAGAGTAATTGATTACTTTTGTGGTTTTAACTTTTATATATGTGACTTAGCCTAAACTTATGACACCGCTCTCTTGTTTTATCTCGTCATTTTATCACTTAAAGCTTTTAAATAATATTGTTCTTTGGATTAAGCGTGCAAGTTCCTAATTCACCCTCCATTCACATATGTTTCACATCACCGGCACTCTCAAACCCTGCCAAATTCTCAATCTACATTCCTCCCTGAGCTTTGATCCCATCACCCATGCCGAAGCCAGCAAGCATCTCCATTGGAGAGAGGCAATGGCATCTAAATTCCTATCTCTCCAACAACAGGGTACGTGGAAGCTGGTCCCCCCTCCTCCCAACTCACCCATCTTGGGCTATAGATAGACTTATAATTCAAAGAAAAATACAGACGGTACGATTTCTTGATACAAAGCCCGCTTGGTGGCTCAAGGTAATCACCAAGAATACGGACTTAATTTTTTGATGATAACAAAATATTATTGTTATGATATTATTATTGTTTTTGCTAACATATATTGGATATATGTCTATTTGTTTTTGTGTGCGCTAACATTTTAGAAAAATCATATTCCAGACTGCTGAAAACTTCAAGATAGAGTAGAATAAAATTTCATGTAATAAAGTCAGTAATTTTTATTTTCTTGAGTCCGAGAAAGTGTAATTGTAATTAGGTAACTGTGCACACACACATAGGGGGAGAATTAAAATTGAAATTGAAATTATTTTAACCATATCTGTACTGCACGGTGTTGGTTCGTACAGACAAATGACAGTGTACGAAATAAGCTTCATACTAGATCGTCCAGAAGAATTTTAACTGTTCGTACAGACGATCTAAATATCGTACATGCAACCGACAGTGTACGAAATATGCTTCATACCAGATCGTCCAGACAAATTTTAACTGTTCGTATAGACAGTCTAAATATCGTATAGACGATTGACAGTATACGAAATAAGCTTGATACCAGATCATCTAGACAAACTTTAATTGTTCGTACAAACGATCTGTAAATCGTACAGACGACAAAGTGTATGAAATAATGTTTCTACCAAAGCGTCCCATGATTTTTGAACTGTTCGTACAGACGATCCAAGATTGTACTGTACGATCTGACTCGTTTTCACTTTGAAAATTCAATTTATAGATGATTTTTTATGTGTTTTCTATATAATAAGTCATAGAAATTGACTTAGAGATCTATTTTTTGTGAATTTCTCTTGAGAGTGGAAAAAGAGAGTGATTTGGGAAAGTGTTTGGGAGTGAAAAGTGAGAGATCTTGTAAGAAGAGATTGTGAGGGATTCACAAGCAAAGATGAGGATCTCTTGGTTGTTTTTCAAAACTCTGCCATACTATTTTGAAGACTCTTGAGAGAAGATCTTTGGAGTATATCAGGTACTTTGCCTTCACCAAGAGGGTGAAAAAGGACAACGGTACTCTACCTTCACCAGGAGAGTGAAAAAGGATAACGGTACTCTGCAGCAGGAGGGTGAAAAAGGACGATGGTTCTCTGCCGCACCGGGTTGGTGAAAGAGAGGTTTTGTAAGGACTTCTCCGCCTTGCTGTGGGAGCAAAAGGGAGTCACTTGTATTTAGTGCACTACATGGAGAATGAGTCTCCAGGGAGTAGACGTAGGTCTGGTTGGATCAAACTACTATAAAATATGGTATTCTTCTATTCTTTTATTTTTTACTTCATTTTTATTTTCCGCACTTTATTTTTACTGTGGTTGAAAAATATTTTGTGAAAATCTATTTCTACAAACAACCGCATACTTCAAAATCATTGAGTAAAATATCTTAAAATGGTTTTCTAAAATCAAAGAGATTTTTTAAATTATTAATTCACCCCCTCTTGATTAGCCCGGTGACATTTCTATTAGGTCTAACAACCTGCACGAAC